GGAAGCGCCAGCATTGACCATCCCTACGGCCACCATTTGGTCCGAGGTGAGGGTGCCGGTCCTTGTCGACAAGCCCAAACAAGCATTTCAAAGCTCAAAGCTTCTTGCTACAGCACCAAAACAGCCCAAGGCTCTTATCAAAGAAGCAATGCGACACACGTCCAGCAAAGGGCACACGGAATGGCTCCGTGCAATAAATTCCAGCCTTGAGCAAACTCATCAGGGCCGTGTTAACTGCGAATGCCATTTGCATCGGCAGCGAGGGCGGCACCACAGACGTGATGATCTGGGTACATCGGATCAAAGTCTTGTAAGTGGGCCGCGTGGGGTCCTTCAGTGCCGCGTTCATCACGTAGCCCGCAGCGGCCAAGGCAAAAACCAGAAGGAACATCAGCTGCAGGGCTGTCTCTACAGTATCAGCGCTGACGTTCTCGGTTGAAAACTCAATCATTCGCATCAGCTCCCCCTGTGAGGAGTTGAAACCAGTTCGGAGGACGAAGCACAGGATGCCATCATCAGGCGGGCAGTTTACATCTTTCATGGCTCCATCTCCCTTCTTTTTGCTCCTTTCTGGAGCCGTCGTCTGGATGAGAGACGTGCCGCTGAAAAGAGCGTGTATCCTGGCTTGCAAGGACTGCTAGGACTGCTGGGGGGGGACTCTCTGCCAAAAAAACATGCCTATGCCAGGCCTGTGTTTTCCGAAGCAATCCACGATCAAGTTGGAGTCCGTGCCCGTGCCCATAGCATCCTTCATCTGCGGCACGGACTCGCCTCAAAATGCGGAAGCTGTGAAGCACGAGGCATCAACTCAGCCCGTGCGCCTGTGAGCGTGGCTTCGTTGACAATGGCGCTGCCACTGACAATCAAGCAGTCGCACGGCACCAGCGTCTCCTTTGCTGCATGGAACTGGGTCGGTGGAATGAGGCCTTTGAAAGCCAGAGGGCGGTTTTATCGAAGCCTTTGCAGATGCTGTCCTTCTTCTCGTGGTTCTCAGCCCCGGCTTCTGCTTTCTTGTCTTCCGCCCTGTGCCAATTGCCCCGCACATGTCTCGAGGTGGAGCCAAGCTGACGGAATCAACCAGCTTTGAGTTTTTAGTCCAAGCGGCTTGGTGTGCAAGGAGATCAAGTCGCCAGGTAGAAGGTCTTCAATGGGCCGGTCCTCCCACTGCCCGCAGCGGAACACGAACACCTTGGTAACAAACCAAGCTGCATGGAAGTTCCGCGCATTGGGTGGCATACACACTTGGGCATGCTGCTTGCCCACTTCATCGGCTGAGCCTCCAGCATTAAAGCCTTGGCTAAATCAAGTTAGCAAACACGGAGACACGAATGTGGACAACTGCCAAGAAGGGGCTTTTCGTGCTCATCCCACGAAGCGTTGCCATGGACTTGAGCCGTTGGAATACAGTCGAGGCTTCGAACATGAGAATGCTTCCCAAGGTGAAGCAAGTGTACTTCCTAAGATGAAGGGGAATCATTCAGGCAAACTTCCACACCTATAAGTCCAGATCTTTTGCCAGGGTGCCACATGGTGTCCATCACCCAGAGGGCAGCCGAGAAGAGCTGAAAAATGACGAGGGGAGATATCAGCTGTTTCTGGAAGAGCCTCGGCAACAGCGATTCAGGGTCCTGCGCGTATCAAACAACCGAAGACTTGGGGCCACCCCAACGATTGCAACAACTGTACTCGACTCATGCCAGCTCCAGGGCACTGCATGAAGGTGGGCTTGGGCAGGTCAAATACGTTGGTACCGTACTTGTCCTTGCACACAATTAATTTTGGATGCATCAACAAGAGCAAGCGAGCTCTAGTCAAGATATCCTTGGCCAGCTCCACTTTGCTGGAACTTTCCAGTCCTGTGAACTGTGAATCGAAAGCAAGGGGCGAAGCTAGCAGATGCAGCTTTCTTGCAGGGCATCCTTTGCAATCTCGGTACGTGCTCCAGGGCAGATTAGTTGGGCACTGAATCAGCCTGACACCTTGGACCGTTTGCAATGCCAGCCCTGAGTGCAAGCAACTCACTTGGGATGAGGTTTGGAAGCCGAACGTAGGCCACAATTTCTGCATGCGGGCAAGATGCCAGGTAGTTCCACATCCTTGTCATTACGTTTCCAGATCACACTGCATGTTTCCACAGACAGAGGACCCATCCCATGAAAAGATCCACGCACCAGCAATGGCGACTTTTCTACTTCGTGGTCAGGTATGGCAGGCACAGCTTGCCCACAGAGCAGCACCAGGTCCCATCACAAATGACCAACGGAACAAAAACTAATGCTTCAGAGCTGCTCCTACGAGGTCCGCGTCTTCAGTTCCTGCCTCCACGAATTCAAAGTTTTGGTACCTCACAACTACGCTGCCGAACACCTGCCCTCTTCCCCCATGACTCTATCCTGATTCTAATTTCATAGGTTCGATACCCTAGCAACAGGCGAATTCGATTCCTATCCCGCCCTCGCCACAAAGCCGGGACTGAGTGCTTGGAGTGACTGCATGGCATGCACTGACCAACCCAGGCACCTGACTGCCTTAGAGCCTAAGAGGCTCCATGAGGCTCCTGCCTCTTTGATTGGGGTACTCAAATGCAATCGTTCTGGAATCATCTTGCCACTCGCAGTTTGCCGCCCAATGCGCCCCGAAGAAGTCGAATTCTGCATGTCAGGTCTCCGGCCATTCAGCCAAGATGCTGGAACTTGAAATGGCAATTCAGCGTGACCTGCGTGCATGAAAGGAGACTTTGCCCCAAGACTCGTAATAACATAGACGTAGACTGTTACATCTCGAGGCCCTGAAAGGCCTCGGACTCGTGGACCTCACAGATATCTGGCTTCCCCTTGTTGGCATGCGGTGTCACGCGCACAAAACCTCAGCAGAGCTGATGTTCTTTGTGCCAAGCCCTAGTTACCCTAGTTGGTACTGAGAGGCCCTGCGGCCAAGCTGCTGCCATGACGAACTTTTCCGCATGGCTGGAAGAGAAACAAGGCGCGAAACGATATGGACCAAATGCACATGAGGTGGAAAAGTACGTGCACCTCATAGCAGGTTGCCATTCGAAGAATCTTTGCACCATTGTCATCTGCACAACACAGCCAAGTGGCCAAGATGTTCCTGACAGAACGCATAGGGTGCAAGATGCTCTTACAACGTCAATGCTGCCCTGCTCATTCCTGGCGATTCTAGGCCGACAGTTAGGACCGCAATGGACCGTAGCTAATAGCAACAATTACGGGACGATTGTAGTGCGCAGCTCTGAGTGTCAGTGAAGGTGGCTACAGTGGGTCTGCCGCCAAGTGGCAGGAAAATGAAGACGCACGCAAAGGCTCCAGGCATCATCTGCGAAGGCAGGGACTCCTGCAGAAAGGAGTGCTAAAGGCAAAGAGTGGTCTCATCTTCAGCTGCGGCAATTGCTGTGGAGCTCTCCTCATCAATTCCCAGCTCAGTCTCCTGAGGGAGCCCAGCATGGGAATTGTCAAGACATGTCTGTAGAAATACCTAACACCAATCCCCTGCGGTTTGTCCTTCTGATCTTGCTGGCCACTTGTGAAGGAGACGCCCTTCTCCTGCACAAGTGCTTCTCAACTCCAACGCGTCGCCACGTCGCTGCATTCCCAGTCTAGACTCTAGACTTGCCTTGGCAGCCTCAGCCTTCTCTTTGATGAGCCTCTTCTGCTCTTCCAATGCCCACTGATATGGTTGGCCCACCTTAGCAGCATGAAAGGACAGCCAGTTCTCGTGTGGCTTACTGAAATTTGCGTTGCGAACTGCTTCCATGGCAAGTCAAGCTTCATAAACTGCCTCTGCAACATGAACAAAATTCCTATGGACTGCTTGGAGCACCTTGTATCCAAAACTCACTTCTGCTTGCGACAACAAGGGCCCCACTCAGGATTCAGCCTGTTAAGCCCTGTATGGAAGACCCTTAGATTGGTGAGCCCGAATTCAGCTAGGCACCGTGGCTTTGCTAGCTACGTTGCTAAGGTCTCCCCTAATGCATAGGCGAGCAGCGGACAAAATATCTTGTCTGGCCTATGGTCAAAAGTCCCATGCTAACACTCGCGCTGCAATCTCGTTCCATCTTGGTTTACAGTTTCCGGAGCAAGTTGGGGGGGACCATCTCATTCCTGCTAGGCTTTTAGTTTGCGCACCGCCCTCGAGCCAGATGAAGGATTGGCAAATAATTAGTGCACCAAGTGCCTAATTCTACTGCTATCTCGCGTAGCTGCACCTCAGTCGGGCCTCGAATCTTGTTCTTCAACAAATTTGCATTCAAACACAAAGTAGCTGATCTCGTTATTTCGAGGGGACCATCTCGTTTTACAGGATAAACGTATGCTTTCCAAAATTTCTGACGGGCACTAGACATGCGTAAAAGAGATGACGGAAAAGTAGTCCGTAGCTTATGTCTGTGAAAACTCAAACCTGCAGCGTTTTGATCTTTAGAAGGTCAAGAGTTCTGGAAGAGGAGAAGCAACCTTTGTCACGTCTGCCCCTGATGCTGCCTGGCAGCTGTGTCCTGCCACAGCTTTAGCGAGCAGGCATAATAGGCCACGAAGAATGCAGCCACCTTGAACAGGGCAGACTTCGACTGGACTACGTGTGACATGCGAAAGGCTCATTGGCATCATCTCTCTTGTCCATGTTGCTTTCCAGTGCCGAGGTACAATATATCTCTTCCATGGTGCTCTGGTGAGTAGCCTCACGTGAGCTACGCTGCTCGGATGGCGCAGGCGCATTCTGCCTGGCAACAACAGTAACAGCGGATGAACAAACATGTCTGGTGGCACGCAGTTCACCAGAAGGGCACGTGCCTAGGGCAGGATCGCCCCCCCAAGCTTGCGACTAGGGCGCCCTAGTGCTAAAGCTTTTACTTGGGCCAGTGAGATTCATGGAGATGATGCATCGCATCCGTCCATGAAGGTTGCACGTGCTACCAAGCAATGTCAACTTGCTAGACTTCAGCTGATCTCTGTGCAGGAAGGCCAAAGGCAGAGCTGTGGAGCCTCGTCGGTCTCCGTACCTCGGCCCGCAAACCTGCCAAGCGGTCTGCAAAAGTCTGCATTCTCCGCGCCCTCTCTCGCATCTCATGCAGGCAGTGGCGCACCGGGCATCCCAGGCTTGGCGCCTGAGAAGGTGAGGCTCCAAGTTTAGGTTGCAGGTTGCAGGTGTCAAGCTAATTGCGCCTGCTGGCATACTCTGAGGCAGAACATCCTGGAGAAGCTGGTGCTGTTGAGGGTCGGTCCTTCACAGTAGAGCATATTCCTTTCATGTCCAGCCCTTTATGTTGATACCACCCGAAAACTACACAGACAAATTGGGATTGGCATGACCGATGGCCGCAGCAGGTGGGTTGGAAATACCTTTAAGTAATACAGCATTTCCTCCTCCTCCTCCTCCTCCTCCTCCTCCTCTACCTCCTGCTCCTGCTCCCTCCCTCGCTCATTCTTCCCTCCTCCCCCTTCCCTCCTTCCTCGCTCCTTCCTCCTTCCTCCTCCTCCTCCTCCTCCTCCGCGTCAACGACAACAACACGCTGCAGTCATCACCGCCACAGCCACAGCCACAGCCACAGCCACAGCCACAGCCACAGCCACAGCCACAGCCACAGCCACAGCCACAGCCACAGCCACAGCCACCACCACCACCACCACCACCACCACCACCACTTCTTCTTCTTCCACCTCAAGAACGAAACGCCATGAAAGCAGCATCACAAATGAAGGTGAGAATGAGAAGCAGCCACCGGGGTTTT